AAGAACATCAGTTCAAAGTAGTCTCAGCTCAAAAATTTGACTTTGAATTGCTTTAGAAAAGTATTTTATTTCTATTTCTAATAATATTTCTTTTCTACAGAAAGAAATTGAAGCTAGGGAAGATGAAAAGGTCATTGAAAAGGACAATCTTTTTTATGATGATTTGACTCTGGCATCTCACTTGAGAACCAGGTACACTCACATACTGCTAGTGGAATTTCAGAATGGTTGAATCTCTTTAGGAACCAATGTGACAGTACCTTGATGAAGTTATAAAAATAACAGTATCACTATCCCAGCCCCCACCTATGTCCCTGTCATCCATTTACTGGGACTACACCTAATGGGGTATATCTTGCAAATTGGTAAAAAGAGAGGTTATGTTCAAATAAAAATTCTAATAATATTCCTTTATTACTCCAAAACCTGGAGATACCTGAAGTGCCTGACAAGCTGAGACTGTCTGAAGAAATTCTAGATTATCAACATAGGAAAATAATACCACGAATTGAAACTGATCAGTGGGAGGAAAAGGAAAATTCTAGAACCTTCCCCATGAACTAGCTTGAACACAAAAATAAGAATAAAAGTGTATGCCTTTATTTAGTAACCACCCACAAGGGAACATTCATGTTTAGAATTAAAAGAGAAATGTTATATGGATAGTGATGAATGGACAAAATGTTAAAGGTGACATGCAAGCAAATGACTGATAAGATGTTGTCAATATTAGAGAGATATCAATGAATGGAATCCAATATACCTAATTTACTCAACTACATGTGAAGGAAAATTTGGATAGAAGCCAAGCAGTCTTGATACCCAAGTCACAACTCTCCCCATTTAAAGTATAACTCTGTTGGTTTTGTTTTCCAGAGAAATTGAATTCGAAAAACAGAAACTGGTAATAAAGACCATCTTTGAAGAGAAAACACAGACATTTCTCAAGGAAATCAAAGAGATATGTGCTATGGTGAGAGAGTCCAATTCATGGGTACTTTTCCCATTTGAATTCGACAAGGATTTCTTCAGGGCCTGTTTGTGTGCACTCTCCTGAAAATTGGAGATATAGTGATGTCAAGACTGAAATTAAAAAGAAGAATAAACTGAAGCATTCCATGAACATAATCAAATCAATTATATTAACAGAGGCATGCTGTCTGTCAGCAAAGGAGCTGATGGCTTGCCTCCATTTTATGCCAAAAACTGTGAGCAGATAGACAGCTCTCCTTATGTAGGTTTTGGGGAGTACAGAATCCTGTCTTTGCCTTTTAGAGTCCTTTACCACCTGGACTCTGTCCAACCTGTCCAGTGTTCTTAGGCTTTACTTTTCCCCAAGTAAAATAAGATCCAGCAGCCCAGGGCTTCTTGCTCTTCTTCAAACACCACCCTCACGTGAGAACCAGGTACACTCACATACTATTAGTGGAATTTCAGAATGGTTGAATCTCTTTAGCAACCAATGTGACAGTACCTTGAGGAAGTTACAAAAATAACAGTGTCACTATCCCAGCCTCCAACTATGTTCCTGCCATCCTTCAACACTTTATGGAAAGACAATGCTGAGTACTGAGGTTGATGGTGGCCAGGAGGCTTGGCCCCTAAGTCAGAACCATAAAGTTCACCCCACTCCATGCTATCTCTGTCCTCTCTGTCTGAAATGTTCTCTCTCTTCACCTCCATCTCCTGGCTTTCACATTCTACAAGATTTAAATTCTACCTTCTGAAAGAGCCCTTTGTTGGTAACCATCCATACTCAAACCCTGGCTGATGCCTTTCTTCTGAGATTATTTTCAATTTGGGCTCTATATGTACATCTACTATGTATAATATCCAGTGTGGTGGTGTTTTCCAATTGAAAGTAAACTGCTTGAGGGCAGGTAAGTATGGTTTTGCCTTTCCATGTATCCCCAGACTGCAGCACAGTGACTGACATATGATAAATGTTGAATAAATGCTTCTTGACTCTCAACATAACATCACATTATATTCACATTCCACCATTTGTTCAGCCAGTCGCTGATCAATAGGCATCTACTTTGTTTCCCACCAGGAAAATGTGGCTGTATATAGGAAATATTTCTCTTGTCTATGATGTACTTGTAAGATCTGTGCCCAGTAGTGGAATCAGTCATTCAAAGGGCATAGTTATTTTAATAGACTTGCTTACATAATTCGAAAGATTTCCTTTGCAACTATTGGACATTTTTGGCTCCTCCAATAGCATATAAAGAGTTAGCCTATCATTCCACAGCCTTTCCAATATGCTTGTTCCCATATATCATAATTTTTACCAGTTTTGATTTGGATGAAATGAAAAGTCAATTGGTTTGACTGACATTTCCCTTCCTATTCATGATTTAGGGCATTTTTTCATAGGGCTGTCGATGATCTTTAATTCTTCTTTAGAAAACCATTGGGTAATAATGTTATTGGATGATTGCCTACTGAAGGTGAGAAGGATGATATTAAAGACCAAATTTTTATCAATTTGTATTAATTCTTTAGATGTCTACAACAATGAATTTTTCCACCTGAAAGTTTTTCCTCTTTTAAGCTGTATTGATTTTGTTCACACAACGTTTGTGGATGTAATCCAGTAAAATTATCAATTTTTTCTTTTATACTGTCCTCTAACCTTTGTTTGGTTATGAATCTCCCGAAAAAACATCACATAATCACATATCACAATCAAATAAAGGAACCTCCTTCTCTTTTACACAAAGTTTGAATATTCCTTTCTTATATTAAGGCTAGGTATCCCTCCAGAGCTTATCCTATTAAATTGTGTGTGATGCTATTCAAAACCTACTTTATGCCTAATTGCTTTGCAGTTTTTCTTTCAGTTGTCTAAAACAAGGAATCCTACTCCCATTCATTTGGGTTCTTAGGTTGCTTGAAGAATGGACTTCTGGGTTCCCTTGCTTCTATGGTCTTGGTTATATATCCTGTTCCCCTCATCTACCTTGCTTTTTTTCTTTTCTCTTTATTTTTTACCAATGACCAAAGAGTTTTGATAAGAACTGCTGTACTTTGTCATGAAATGGTGAGCCCTTTTGATCCCTATTTTTTTTTCAAATTTCCCCCATGAAAATCCTCAACAATCTTTTAACTGTCTAATCTTATGGCTTTTCTCAGCCATATTTGTATTCCCTTGCCTCTCTACCACTTTTGACACAGTTCCCTTCCATATACAAAATCTATCCCTTCCCCCCTACTTTCTTCCTGCTACCCCTCCTACCCAGTTGTACACTTCTCATTTCTCTAAGTGTCCTCTAGCCTTCTGCCTTCTGTAATCTTCTCTCTCTGCACCTTCTTTGCAGCTGACTTCTGCAGACCCTTTGAGTCAATGATTATCTCTCTACACAAGGCTCCCAAATCTGTAGATCCAAGCACAATCTTTCTCTTGAGTTCCAGACATGGTCAATCAACATGTATGTCATACTCAACGCATCCTAATTATCTGTACACAAAAGCTGTCTTTTTTTCAACTTTAAATTTAAATTTTTTAATACAAATTTAAACTTCAAATTTTTTAAACTTTCAAGTTTAAAATTTGCTTCTTCTATTGAGGACACAGCCTTCTATCCAGTCACCTAACTCTCTTCCTTCAAAATCATCTTTGACTCTTCACTGTCCCTTGCTTACACCCATATATCATCATATCACTTATCAAATCTTGTCACTTCTACTTCTATAACATCTCTGGCATTTATTCATTTCTCTCTATTGATAGAAACACTACTTTATACAGTTTGGAAGGGTCTTATCACTTTGTACCTGAACTATTAAAAAATATATTTTTTTTAAAAATTGAGATTTTATGGATAGCTTTTCTAATTGCCAGAATTAGTACTAGTGTCCTACCTCCCGGAGATCTCTATATACATCACAAGAAATAATATTTTACAACAAAACAGATATGAAAAAGAAAAGCACAATTAGCAAAACCAGTGAATGCACTGAAAAATAATAGGCAATATTGCACTCTTGGTACCTTCTACCTTGCAAAGGACTGAGTAGAGTGAGTCTCTTCTTGCATCCCCTTTTTAAAGTATGCTTGCTCTTTAAAGTTTGTAAAATTATCAGCATTGAGCTCGAGAGATTAAAGAAAAATTCCTGCAGATGTGTTGGTAGGATTTCCTTTCTATGCTTGTTAATTTGTACTGTTAGACATTGGCTCCTGTGCTTTTCTTAAGATGTTTACCCTCTATAATGTTGGTAACCTGAAAGCTTTTGACCTGATGACTCTTTCTTGCTTGGACTGAATTTTTTGGAACTTGATTCAAAGTCTATATTGCGTTTTTACAGGTTCATCCTTGGAAGGAGTGTTGAGGAAAGGATTATCTGCTACAGAAATCTTTCCTGCCTGAAAAATAACATCATCAGAACATAAGTTCAGAGTAGTCTCAGCTCATAAATTTGACTTTGAATTTTTTTAAAGTATATTTTATTTTGCTCTTTCTAAAAATCTTTTTTCTCCCTACAGGAAGTAAATTATGTTACAGAAATGGAGAACTTGAATAGGAAGGAAAACACAACCAAAAAGGAGAAGATTATTTATCGTTCTTCCATCCTGGCATCTCTCTGGAAAATCGGGTGCATACATATACTACTAGTGGGATTTCAGAAGAATATAATTTACTTAGGGGAAAAAGTGGCAATATCCTGGTGAAGTTACAAAAATAACAGTGTACCCCACCTATGTCACTGTCAGCCCTTTATAGGGAATATACCAAATAGAGTGCATATGCAGAATAGGCAAAAAGTGAGGTTATGTTCAAATGACATTTCTAATAATATTCTTTTGTTATTCCAAAACCTTGAGATGCTTGAAAGGTCTGACCAGTTGAGACTATCTGAAGAAATTGTAGATTATCAACATAGAAGAATACCAGGAGTTGAAATCAATCAGTATAAGTAACAGACAAATTCTGGAAATATCTTTGTGAATTCTTATGAGCATAGAAAATAAAACCAGAATAAAAGAGTATACATTAATTTAGGAATCACCCACAAGGAAACATTTATGTTTAGAATTACAAGAGAAATGTCATACAGATGGTGATGAATGGATAAGATGTTAAAGGGGACACACAAGTGATTGACTGTTAAGTTGGCAATATTATATAGATGTCAATGAATGGAATCCAGTATACCTAATTCACTCAGTTGTATCAGTGGAAGAATTGGGATAGAAGCCAAGACTCTTGATACCCAAATTAGCATTTTGCCCACTTAAAACACACATGTTTATTTTGTTTTTCTAGAGAAACTGATTTCAAAAAACAAGAACTGGCTAAAACAGCAATTTTAGAAGAACAAACACAAACGTTCCTCATGGATATTAAAGAGATATGTGCCACGGTGAGAGAGTCCTATTAGTGGATACTTTTCCCATTTAAATTCCACAAGGATTTATTCAGGGCCTGTTTGTGTGCACTCTCCTGCAAACTGTGTGATAGAGTGAGGAGGATATAGAAAGGAAGTAAAAGCAATGTCCCCAACTTGGAGTTGCTAGCAGTTTGGGTGGGCATCTCAAAACATAAAAACCAATGCTTTTGCAGAGAGAAAATGTCAAACCCTTATTCCTATGAATTCTGAATTAGGGGAAATTTTTTTTTAAATCATTATAATATTCTTTTCAAGTAGCAGTAGTAATATATAAATTCACTATTGTTTCCAAAAGAACTATTACTTAAAACAAATCCCTCTTCCTAGTTTCAACAATTTAAAATACTAGCAAACTTTGTGAAACTCATCACATCAATTATATTGTGGGAAAGGGGTTTATAAAGTTTATTTCTATATTATGTATTTATAAGGTAGTAATTCTGAGATTCATACATACTTTCACCATTGAACAGTTCTCTGTAAACAAACATACGTGAATGAACATACACACATACATACACATATACATACATAAATACTTCATGAACAAACAGTTCAGTAAAACTTACAAACATAACTGAATCTGAAAGAATATATATTTTGGATTTGGAGCCTACAGCCTCTCACCAATTGGAGAGAACCATATTTGATTTTCTGTTTTCTAGGCTTAGGCTAGAATTTTTCAATACAATTAATAAAAGAATGGAAAACTTTCAGTGTTGTTCTCAATTTTATTAATTTTAGTTATGCCAAATATTTTCCTTAACTCGTTATACATCAGTTCATAAATATTTACCTACACTGCTCTGAATTCTTCAAATTTGTTTTTTCCTCCTGCACTAAAATCCTGAAAAGTTAGATAGGTTGGAAAGGGGCAAGGTGGTGAAGATCTTTAAAAGCCAAAGACAGGATTGTACACTTGATCCAGGAGACTCAAGATTTCAATGAATAGGAAGAAATAGGGTCAGACCAGTGTTTTTAGAAGATCACTATGGTAGGTGAGGGTAGGATGAATTTGAGTAAAGAAAGATGTGAGGAATGGAGAGGCTCTTGCAATCATCTGGGGATGAGGTGAAGAGTACCTACATCAACTGATTGGAGTGGGTAGAGAAAAGGGGATATAAAAGACAAATGTTATATAGCTAGAAATGTCAAGGCTTGACAAAAAATTGTTTATGCAGAGTGAGGATTTATTGAAGTCATGGGAGATGATATGATTACCAAGCAAGATACTATGGAGGGAAAAGTTAAGAAGGAAGAGGACAAAATTTTGGAAGACATACCCACTTTGAGTGGTATTGCCTGAATATGTATATAAAAATTATAAATTCATACTTATATACATGCATACAGACATGCATACATACATACAAATGTATGTGTATATATGTATGTGTGTGTATATATGTGTGTGTATATACATGCACACACAAAAGGAAACTCAAATAGACTGAAAAAACAAATGGGAGAAGCTCCAAGTGGGGGACAAAAACTTAGAGAGGAAAGCCTGTCCAAGAGAATAAGACCATCTTCATTGTTGTCAAAATTTGCAGAGAGGTCAAGAAAGATAAGAACTGAGAAAAAGTCTTTAGATTTGGAACAACACTGAGAGTTTTCCATTCTCTTATTAATTGTATTGAAAAATTCTAGCCTAAGCCTAGAAAACAAATTCAAATATGGTTCTCTCCAAGTGGTGAGAGGCTGTAGGCTCCAAATCCAAAATATATATTCTGGTATGTATGTATGTATGCATGCCTGAGATTATTTCCCATTTATGCTCTACCCATCCACTATGTGTCAGTTTTGATGTGTAGTTTTTCAACTGATTGGGAGTTCCTTGAGGACAGGGTATTATGTTTTTGCCTTTCTTTTGTTGAACCCCAATAAATTGCAGAGTCTGTTCTAAGAAAGAGATAAACACAATTAGGGTGCGTGTGTCCACAGTTTAATTTCTCTCAAGGTAGCTTGACATGCATTTCATGAGAGTTCAGTCCAAAACTGGGCCCCCATAAGGGGGCCAGTTTTTGTCCCCCACTTGGAGTTTCTCCCATTTGTTTTTTCAGTCTATTTGAGTTTCCTTTTGTGTGTGCATGTATATACACACACATATATACACACACATACATATATACACATACATTTGTATGCATGTCTGTATGCATGTATATAAGTATGAATTTATAATTTTTATATACATATTCAGGCAATACTGGCTTGATTTGGGGGGACAGGGTTATATGTAGGTGTTCCCAGGGGTGCCAATCAACTCTGATTGGTCACAACACTGGGAGGTGGGTTATATTAAAATGAGGTCTTAAACACCTGACTTAGGTCACTTAATCTTGGTCAACAGGGCTGTTATCACCTGCCATCCTGACAGAGGAAATATTACCCCCAGTCTTGGGAATCTGTCTCCACCCAAACCTGAGTAGGATAAAATCAATTCAGGGCTGGGTCAGATTTGACCATGATAAGAAGATTCAAAGCAATTTCATTATCAGCAATGTCCTCCTGAAAAACTTTGGAACAGAAGGCTGAGGGGGCTGGCGCCCTGAGTCTCCGAGACATAGAGAAACCATTTTTCACAGTTTGTATCCCCAGAATTGAGCACAGTTACTTACACATGATAAATGCTTAGTAACTGCTTCTTGACTGCTTGAATATAATACCACCTTATATCCATGTCCCAGTATTTGTTCAACCAATCTTGGATCAATAGGCATCCATTTTATTTCTCTCCAGGAGTATGTGGGTGTCTGTATGAAACCTTTCTCTTGTCTTTGATATCCTTTGAGTATAGGTGCCTAGGAGTGGGATCAAATGATTCAAAGGGCATGGTCATTTGAATGACCTTGCTTACTTAATTCCAAATGTTTTCTCCACAGCTCCTCCATTTTAGCTCCTCTAGTAACATAAAAAGCTATTAACTTATCTCCCCACAGTTCCCTCAGTATCTATATTTCCATATAGTATCATTTCTACCAATTTTGATCTAGATGAGAGAGAGAGAGAAAGGAAAGAAAGAGAGAGAAAGAAAAGAAAGAAAGAAAAAGAAAGAAAGAAAGAAAGAAAGAAAGAAAGAAAGAAAGAAAGAAAGAAAGAAAGAGAAAGAAAGAAAGAAAGGAAAGTGTTGTCCAACTTGGTCCCTAGTGGGCAGCTCCTTCTCAACTCACAGAAGTAGCCATAAAGAGAATGAATGCAAAGACTTTTTCCAGCTACATTTTTTGTCTTATAAGCTGGATTTATTCTGTTCGTGCAAAAGTTTGTTGATGTAATATAGTTAAAATTATCTATTTTTTCTTTACATTGACCTATACCCTTCTTTGTTTGTGAATTTACCCTGAAACTATGTCACAGAAAGGAACTTCCTTCTATTTTACCTGATATTTCAATATTCCTTTCTTATATTAAGGCTAGGTATCCCTCCAGAGCTTCTCCTGTTCAATTGTGCATGATACTATTCAAAACCTACTTTGTGCCTAACCGCTTTGCAGTTTTTCTTGCAGTTTGTCTAGGACAAGCCATCCTTCTCCCACTCATTTGTATTCTTAAGCTTTTTACATAATGGACCTCTGGGTTCACTTTCTTCTAAGTACTTGGTTATCAGACCTGTTAACCTCCTCTTCCTTTCTTTTTCTTTTCCATTTTTAACTTTGACCAAAGAATTTTGATGAGGACTGCTTTGTGATATAGTTTGCTATGTAGTAATAGTGGGCCCTTTGTATCCCTATTTTTTCTTCAAATTTTTCCATCAAAAATACCCAACAATCTTTCAGTTGTAGAATCTTATGGCTTTTTTTCAGTCTTTTTAGCTCTTTACCACTCTACCATTTTGGATACAGTGGAATTTCTTTCCATGTACAGATTCTCTCCTCCCCCACATTTCATGAATACTGATTTCTCTAGGTGGGATTATCCTCCTTCTCCCACTCAATAAGATTGGTTGTCCTCTAACCTTGTGCTCTTGTAATCTCTTTCTGTACCCTCTTTACTGCTGATCTTATCAGCTCCCTTTGTGTGAATGATCATATCTCTACAGAAGACTCCCAAATCTATAGATCCAAGCACAACATTTCTTCCGAGTTCCAGGTCCAATCAATCAGTCAATCAACATGCATCTCATCCTCAACACATCCAAAATGACTTCCCCAAAACTTATCACTCCACCAAACTTTGCTTAATTTTTTGGGGAACATTACCTTCTGTCCAGTTCTCTGCACTCAGAATGATCTCTGACTCATCACCCTTCCTCAATTATATCTATATATCATTATAATAGGTTTTCAAATCTTGGCACTTCTACTTCTATCATATCTCTGGCATTTATTCCCTTCTCTCTACTCACAGGAACACTACTTACCCTGCAGTATTCAGAGTAGTTTCACCTCTTGCTTGGACTACTGAAATAACACTTTTTAAAATTAAAAAATTTTATTAATAGCTTTTGTTTTTAAGATCTCCACAATTTCTCCTAGTGTCCCTTCTCTCTGTCAGAGACCCCCATACACTTTACAAAAAAATATTTTTAAACAATTAAAAGAGGAGAAGAAGAAAAGGAAAGCAATGAACCGGACCAGTCAATGCATTGAACAAAGTAGGAAAATATAGGCAATATTGCTTTGCCAATCCTGGAGGACATCTCTTCTCATTTGTCCTCATTGGATCATGCTTCCTCTTTAAAGGGGGAAATACCTGTATTGAACTGAAGAAATTAAAGAAAAATTGCTTCGGATACATCAGTAGGATTTTCTTTCTGTGTCTGTATGTTGGGCACTGGCTCCTGTGTGTTTCTTAGAATGTTTACGCTTTATAAAGTTGGTAGCCTGAATGCTTTGGAACTGATGACTCTTTCTGGCTTGGACTAGGCTCTTTGAAAGTCAGTTCAAAGTCCATATTTCACTTTTACACATTCCATGATGAAAGGAGTATTAAGGAAAAGACTGTCACTTCCTTCATAAATCATTTTGGCAAAAAAAAAATTCATCTGAACATAAGTTCAGAATAGGCTTAGCTTATTATAGATTTCCCAAATTTGTTTTTTATTTTTTTAGACACATATTTTACTTCTCTCTTTCTAAAAATTGTTTCTTTTCCACAGGAAAACAATGAAGTTCCTACAGTGGACAGCATCATTGAAATGGAAGCCATCACAAAAAAAGAATATGTTAATTTTGATGTTTCAACTCTGGCATCTACCTGGAAAACCAGGTAAACTCATGTACAACTAGTGGGGGTTTAAGAATGATAGAATCTCAAGAAAACAATATTGCAGCATCCTGGTAAAGTTAAAAAAATAACTGTATCCTATGTCTGTCCCTGTCGTCCCTTTACTTGGAATATACCTAATGGAGACTATTATACAAATGGGTAAAAAGAGGGGTGATTTTCAAATAATTTCCTCCAATAACCTGGAGATTCCTGAAAAGCCTGACAACTTAAGACTATCTGAATAAATTTTAGATAATAACTATAAAAGTATAATAGCAGGAATTTAAAATTGATTAGTATAAGGGACAAGAAAATTCTGGAAAAACTGTGAATTAATGGAGTCTACAATACTTTAATAGTCACCCACAAGGAAACATATATGCTTTGAAGTAAGAGGAATGTTTTACAGAGAGTGATGAATAGATAAAATGATAAAGGGGACACATAAGAGAGTAACTGATAGGTAAAATTCAATGAATGGAATCAAATATACCTAAATTCACCCAACTAGATCAGTGGAAGAATTGGGAGAGAAACCAAGAATCTTAATATACAAGTCCACACTCTCCCCATTTAAAACACATAAAATGTTTATTTTATTTTTCAGAGAAATTGAATTGAAAAAACAGGAGTTGATCATAAGAACAGCCTGTCAAGAGAGAGCACAGAAATTTTACAATGAAGTAAAAAAGATACGGGCCATGGTGAGAGAGTTCAATTCATTAGTACTTTTCCCATTTGAATTCCATTAGGATTTACTCAGAGTCTATTTGTGTGCAGCGTCCTGAAAATTTTGACATGTAACGAGGAGGCTGTAGGAAAAGCATTAAAGGAATACCCCCAACTTGGGTGGTGCTGGTAGTTGGAATCCCAAAAAAAGAAAACAAAGGTTTCTACATAGAGGAAATGCTACTCCCTTGTTTCCATAGAATTCTGAATTAGGCAAAAATTTTATTTTTCACCTTTGTAATTTTATTCTTTTCAAGTGGCAATAGTTTTTTAATTAATTAATTTTTAATTTTCAGCATTCACTTCCATAAACTTTTTTCTTTTTTTAAAAAAGTAGTTATTTTATTCTGAACTTAAGAAATAAAACAAGCATTTCTGTGATGTAGTAGAATAAAAAAAAGATGATTATACCTGAAACTGCAAATCTATTATCTAGAACTTGCTGTTCCTGTTAAATATATATATGAAGTTATCATGTAACTTTTTTCTTTTTTTATTCCCTCCCCCTCACCCCCACAGAACTTCCCTCTTTTTATTTTTTAAAAATTAATTTATTTATTTTTAGTTTTCAACACTCACTTCCACAAGCTTTTGAGTTTTAAATTTTCTCTCCTTCTCCTCTCCCCCCTCCTCAAGACAGCATGCAGTCTAATATAAGCTCTACATATACATTCTTATTAAACATATTTTCACATTAGTCATGTTGTAAAGAAGCATTAGAACAAATGTGAGGAACTACAGAAAGAAGAAATGAAACAAAATTTTTAAAAAATAGAAAAAGCAAATAGTATGCTTCGATCTGCATCCAGACTCCATGGTTCTTTCTCAGGATATGGATAGCATTTTCCATCATGAGTTTCTTGGAGTTGTCTTACATCCTTTTATTGCTGAGAAGAGCTAAGTCTATCAGACTCAATCATCACACAATGTGGCTGTTACTGTGTACAACGTTCTCCTGGTTCTGCTCATTTCGCTCAGCATCAGTTCATATAAGTCTTTCCAAGTTTTTCTGAAGTCCATCTGCTCACAACTTCTTTAAGCACAATAGTATTCCATAACATTCATATACCACAACTTGTTCAGCCATTCCCCAATTGATGGGCATCCCCTCAATTGCCAGTTTTTGGCCACCACAAAAAAAAGCTGCTATAAATATTTTTGCACATGTGGGTCCTTTTCCTATTTTTATGATCTCTTTGGGATACAGCCCTAGAAGTGCTGTTGCTGGGTCAAAGAGTATGCACATTTTTGTAGCTCTTTGGGCATAGTTCCAAATTGCTCTACAGAATCATTGGATCAGTTCACAACTCCACCAACAATGCATCAGTGTTCCAGTTTTCCCACATCTTCTCCAGTATTTATTATGTTCCTGTTTTGTCATGTTAGCCAATCTGATAGGTGTGATGCAGCACCTAAGAGTTGTTTTGATTTGCATTTCTCTAATCAATAGTGATTTAGAGCATTTTTTCATATGATTATAGGTAGCTTTAATTTCTTCATCTGAAAAATGCTTGTTCCTATCCTTTGACCATTTATCAATTGGTAAACCATAGATTGAAACCCCAAAGGGCTGTTCTAGTTTGTCTAGAACAACGATCCCCACTTTTTTGTGTTCTAAGGTTCCTTGCACAATGGGTCTCTGGGTTCACTTGCTTCTATCCAGCCTATTCTCCTCAATCTGTCTTACTTTTTTCTTTTCCTTGTTTAACCAAGACCAAAGAGTTTAGATAAGGACTGCTTTAGGATAGAGTTTGCCATGTTGTAATAGTGGCCCCTGCGTGTTTGTTTGTGGCCCCTCCCTATGTTTGTTTGTTTTTTTCAAAGTTTTCCACTGAAAATCTCCAACAATCTTTTAATTGTCTAATCTTACACTTTTTCTCAACTTTTGGAGTTTCTTACCTTTCCACCACTTTTGACACAGTGGAGTTTTTCTTCCATGTACAGATACTCTCCTCCCCCTCCTTTCATGATACTGCCTTCTCCTGTTACCCCTCCTACCCAATTGTATACTTTTCATTTCTCTATGTTGACTCACCTTTTATCTCCCACTCAATAAAATAAGACTGAGTGTTCTCTTGCCTTCTCTCCCCTGTAATCTCTCTCTGCCTCTTTCTTCCTGATCTCATCAGTTTCCTCTGGGTGAATGATTATCTCTCTACAGAAAGCTCCCAAATGTATATATGCAAGCGCAATCTGTTTCTTGAGTACCAGTCCTTGTCTGATCCTCTCCTGACTCTGGGCCTTGTACGAAACCAGGGGGATCCCTGGTCTGGCCTGAGAATGTGGGGCCCGGTGTTCTTCCCTGCTTGTACAGCATCCCTCCAAGACAGTCAGTGTTACCTGCCTCAATCTCTTGCATGTGATGGAAGCCAGGTAGATATACCCTTGCCTCTCCTTCCACCTAGGCTCTTTGCACTGATCCCCCTCTGGCAGGGATGGGGGATGTGGGGGCCCTCACTGTCCCGAGGCCCCTGAAGAATATTATAAATTATGGAAACCCCAGTGTCTCTACCTACCCCACCCATGCCCTTCAACCTCTTATTTATACTAAAAGCTGCTTGATTTTACTGAAAAAAGATCAATCCACATGCCTCTCATGCTCAACACATCCATATTATCTTCCCACAAAACCTGACACTTCCTCTATGGAGGGTACTGCCTTCTGTTCAGTCTTAGCTCACTGTGCTCAGAATCATCTTTAACTCTTCACACTCCCTCACTTAGGCCTATGTATCATCCTATCAGTTTTTAGTTCTTGTCACTTCTGCCTCTGTAACCTCTCTTGTATTTATTCCTTCCTCTCTACTCACAGGAAAACTACTTTTCCTGATTGAGGTTCCTATCATCTCTTGCCTGGACTTATTTATCATTGTATTTTAAGAAATTAAAATTTTTATTGATAGCTTTTTTAAAAAAAATGACACAATTTCTCCTAGTGTTCTACCACTTTCTCAGAGATTCTCACACACTTTATTTTAAAAACAATAAAATAGAAGAGGAAGAAAAAGAATACAATTGCAGAGGCGGCCAATACATTGAAAAACGTTTTCGACTATATATAATATTGCACCCCCTTGTATTTAGCACTTCTGTAAAAGAGTGAGGGTTAGGAGTCTCTTCTCATATCTTCTCTTTGGGTCGGGCTTGCTCTTTAAAGTTTGCAACATTATCGGCGTTGTTGTACAGAGAATAATTAAAAATTCCTGCGAATGTGTCATTAGGATTTACTCTGTTCTTGTGAATTTGGACTGTTAAGCATTGACTTCTGTGGGTTTCTGAGGATGTTTACAAAGTTGGTATTCTGAATGCCTTAGAAATGATAATTTTCTTGCTTGGACTACACTTTTTGGAAGTTTGTTCAAAATCCATATTGTGCTTTCACATGTTTTGCCTTGGAAGGGGTATTGAGAAAATGGTTCTAATCTCCTTCAGACATCTTTGCTGCCTAAAAAATTATCAGAACAAAAGTTCAAAGTAGTCTCAGTTTAAAAATTTGACTTTGAATTTCTTTAAAAATTTTTTTCTTTCTCTCTAACAATGTTTCTTTTCTACAGGAAAAAATTGAAGTGGAAAATGGAACTGAGGAGGAAAATGGTTTTGATGATTATTCAATTCTATTATCTCTCTGGAGAACCAGGTACACTCAAGTACTACTAGTCAGTTTTCAGAATGGTAGAATCTCTTTAGGAAAAAAAATGCGGCAGTATTTTTAGACAAGTTAAAAAAATAAGTGTATCCCACCTCTGTCTCTGTCATTCTTTTATTGGGAATATACCAAATGGAGTATATTATGTGAACAGGTAAAAGGACGTTATGTTCAAATAACATTTCTAGTAGTATTCTTTAGTTACTCCAAAAACCTGGTGGTGTCTGAAATGTCTGGCAGGTGGAGACTGAAGAAATTCTAGATGACCAACAGAGAAGAATAATGCCAGGAACTGAAATCGATCAGTTTAAGGAAAAGGAAAATTGTAGAAACATCTGTATAATTTAGTGTGAGCACAAAAAATAAAACCAGAATAAAAGGGCATGCATTAATTTAACAACCACTCCTAAGTGATCTATAAGCTTTGAATTTAAAAAGCAATGTTATACAGAGAGGGAGGAATGAACAAAATGGTAAAGAAGACATACAAAAAATCACTGATAAGAAGTTGTCAATATTATATAGGTTTCAATGAATGCAATCCAATAGGCCTAATTCACTCCACTATCAGTAAAAGCATTGGGATAAATGCCAATATCTTTATACCCAAGTTAGAACTCCTCCCCACTTAAAACACATACACTGTTTTGTTTTCCAGAGAAACTATATATAAGAAACAAAGACTGCAATTCCAAATGGTTTTAGAAGAAAGAAGTCAAGCATTCTTCAAAGAAGTCAAAGAGTTATGTGCTACTATGAGAGAATTCAATTCTTGGGTACTTTTTCTTTGCCAATAACTAGGTCATGTGGTAAAAACTAGCTCAAACTGTATGACTTCTCATAAGAACATTAAATTAACTCCTATACTAGAGAATTCACATTTTTCCACACTCCTTGTTGCTCCTGTCTTTATCTAAACCAGATACTTGATTTAGACCCTACTACAAACAACAGGATAAAGGGAGAACCTCAAAGAATCTATGAGGATCTGACTTATAAATTGAGTCCTTAGGGTTAAAAAGTTGATATTTACCAATGTAGATGTAAGCTAAGGTTAAGAGCACTTCTTAAGTTGGCATTAACACCATCATTTAACTTCTTTGTTACTGTTCAGTCACTTTCAGTTGTGTTCAACTCTTTGTGACCTGTTTGGGGTTTTCTTGGCAAAGGTACTGGAGTAGTTTGCCATTTCCTTCTCCAGCTCATTTTACAGATGAGGAAACTTGGGCAAACAAGGTTAAGTGACTTGCCAAAAGTCACACAGCTGGTCAGTATGTGAAGCCAGATTGCAACTCAGGAAGATGAGTCTTTCTGACACCAGGCCTGCCATTGTGTCCACTGTGCCTCCTAGTGACCCCATTTGAATTCTGGGATTCTTCACCTTGGATTTCATTCTTCACCTTGGATTCAAGCTCCCCAAAGGGATGAAGCATCGGTTTTATTACCTATAACTGTCTTGTGATGTGAAGATAGCAGATTGTTATGTATATATATTTAGGCAGGCTTTTTAAATATTTGACATATATAATCATCTTCTCATCTTGTTATTTTCTCAAAAAAAATTCCAAAATTTTCAATCTAGCTATTTACTTTAGTTATTTACTCTAGTTATTCACTCTAGTTGTACATTCCCTGCTCAGCATTAGATGCTGCTAAGGATCTAATCCTATACATAAGTGTGTGGATAACGACACTTTTTTTTTAAAGTAGTGTTTTTCCCCAGTTACATGTCATGAAAATTTTTAGTATTCATTTTTACAAGATTTTGAGTTCCAATTTTGTCTCCCTCCCCTCTCCTCTTCTGAAAATGATAGGCAATTTGATTAGTTTATACATGTGCTGTCATGTAAAAATATTTCTGTTACTAGTCACAGTTATGAAAGAAGGAACAGATCAAAAGGGAAAAAAAATGAGAAAAAATCAAGTAAGGGAAAAAATATGTTTTCTTCAGTGGATTTTTTTATCTCCTTTTCCATTTGGTCAATTCTGCTTTTTAAGCTATTGTCCAAGCTATTAACTCTTTTTTCATAATTCTCTTGCATCAATCTCATTTTTTCCCCATTTTTTCTTCTACTTCTCTTACATTATTTTTAAACTCCGTTTTGAGCTCTTCCATGAGTTCTTTCTAGGCTTGAGGTGACTTCCCATTTTCCTTTGGGGCTTTGCCCATAGGTATTTTGACATTGTTGTCTTTTGAGTTTGTGTCTTGGTCTTTGCTGTAACCATAATAACTTTCTACGGCTAGATTCTTTTTTGTTGTTTTTTGCTCATCTTTTTTGGGGGGGGCGGGGGAACAGCGGCTTTTTACTATCTTGTAAACTTGAGCTCTGCATCCTGGGTAGAAGGGGCACTATCTCAGGCTTCTTATGCCAGTGACTGCAGGTCCTTACTTTTTATCTGCCGCTGTGCCAATGATATTCTAAGGCTCCCAGGGGACCCTCCTATCTGGTACTGTGCTGAGGGAGTGAGGTGTTGATTGGATAGCACTGCTGGAGGCCATAGGGGTCTGGCAGCTTATTTGGTGTTTGTCTGTGTTGTAGTGGTGGTTTCTGATGTGTGCTGAGGCCTGGTGGGGGTATTTCTGCATTTCCCCAGGCCTGCACTGGAGCATGCGGAGGTCTGGTCCCTGGAGGATGCCTGTTTACCCTGGGCTGTGCTGAAGCACATGGAGGTCTGGCTGCTGCAGGGTGCCTTTTTGCCCTGGACTGTGCTGAAGCTTGTGGAGGGCTGGCTTCTAGAGTATGCCTGTTTGCTTGGGGTTATGCTGAAGCACCCGTGGTAGTTCTTGGGGCTGAAGTCTGCTAGTTCTCCTGGGTCTGCTAAGGCACATGGGGGGGTGTCCTGGTATTGACCTTTGCCTGCTCTACCATAATGGGGTTCAGGATCTCCCACTGCCTTGCTGAGGTAGGGCTTGTTTCAGGCTTGCTGGGATGCTTCATGTCCTAGAATACACTCCCCTTTTAACATGAGAGAGATGGATCTTTCTTGCTGATCTTACAAGCGTCTTGGGCTAAAAGACTGGTTCACCCCTCCTATTTGCTGGTTCTACTCTTCCATGATTTGTTTGGGGCACTGTTTTATGGTTGTTTGAGGTGAATATGAGAGAGTTACAGCAATTTACTGCTTACTTCACCATCTAACCACACTTTTTATAAGTAGACTTCTATGCCTCAATTTGATGGCCACACAAATGAATTTACCCAAGAGATGCTTATTTTCCTCTAATTGTAAATCAATGGAGGACCACTGGGGATTCTATTTTCTAAGTGGAGCAATGCACAAACTCCTTCATAGAGGTGACCCTGCTACTCAGACAACCCACCTTACTGGTTTACAAATAAGGAGATAGATACAAGTTCTGTCTGCTTTCACATTCTCTTATTGATAAAGTAAGCAAGGCTTATTCTTCCCTTTGAAAATAGACAGGATTTGGAATTCAAAACTTTACAAAGAAGATTTCAAACTGTTTTAACATGTAATTGAGGAAAATATCCTTAAAATATATGTATATATTAACATCACACAAACTTTTAAAGTTTTGTTCTCTTGTATGGGTCCCAAGCTTGCTTGTTAATTAGAGAAATACCAATAGCATTTCATATAATACAGTGTGGGTAGGAATATTATCCTCAACTCCCAAACCAGTGACAAAATATTGGGGAACACCGTTGGCCACAAAAAAAAAATTATGTTTACATTCCAGTGAGAAAATGGAATTTTCCTCAATTTACCTAGTTAATAAGAAGTCCTTGCTCTGTTGCAAGTTTAAAAATTAGTAACTTTCACCTTCTTATACTATTCTCAAGAGTCTTCTCCAATGGAAGATTATCTCCACAAAGTCCACTCATAAGGAGTGAATTTAAATTTTATTTATCTCTCCCTATTTAGTTCCAGATTCAAAAGTTGCAGCTTATTTCATGTCATTATTTTTGCTCAGGGAAAGTTTTTTCTCTGCTCTTGGTCTCCAGAAAAAAACTAATTTGACTTTAACATAGATAATATAACAAAAGAGAACACAGATTACTGATCAATTTCCAGTCAGGAAAATGTGGCTGTATATATGGAGCCTTTCTCTTGACTTTGAAGTCCTTGAAGTATATGTGCCTAGTAGTGTGATCAATAGGCATGGTCATTTTATTGACCTTTCTTATGGAATTTCAAATGTTTTCTCCATAACTATTAGACCCTTTTTAGCTCCTCCAAAAACATATGAACAATTAGCCTGTCACCCACAGAATCCCTTGCATGGGTGTTCCCCTCTATTATCATTATTGCCAATTTGATCTTGATGAAGGGAAACCCATTTGGCATTTGGCATTCATTGGCATTTCCCTTCCTTGATGTAGGGCTGTTTTTCATACGGCTGTTGATGGCCTGCAATTCTTCTTTGCAAAACCATTTGTTAATAATGGTATTGGACAATTACCTATAAAAGGGGAGAAGGATGTGTGTGTGTATGTCTATGTGTATATATATGTATATATACACACACATGTATATATATACATATTACATACACACATTTGTACATATAACCCAAGTCTTATTAGTTTGTATTAATTCTTACGGTAACTGAGAATGAATACAAAGACTTTTCCTATCTGAGGGCTTTTCCTCTTGTAACCTATATTGATTCTGGTCATACAAAAGGTTGCTGATATAATGTCACTAAGATAATCTATATTTTTCTTTTGTGATAGCCTGTATGATGGCCTACATTGCTTATTTGGTTGTGCATTTCCCCACAATCATATCACATAAAGGAACTTCCTTCTATTTTACATGATGTTTGAATATTCCTTTTTCATATTAAGGCTAGTGAGGCCTCTAGAGCTTTTCGTGTTAAGTTCTGTCTGATATTATTAGAACCTAATTGCTTTGCAGTTTTTCTTGCACTTTGTCTAGAACGAAGAATCTTCCTCTCACTGATTTATATTTTTAGGTTGCTTTCATGGTGGACTTCTAGGTTCACTTGCTTCTAAGGTCTTGGTTATACAGCTAGTTCACCTCATCTGACTTTTCCCCCCTTTCGTAACAACAGCCAAAGAGTTTTGATGAGGACTGACTACTTTCTGATATAAATTGCCATGTAGTAATGGTGCACCCTATTGTTCCATAATTTATTTTCAATTTTTTTCCATTAAAAATCTTAAAGTTGTCATCCTGTCCTTTCAGTCATGTGTGACTCTTTGTGAACCCATTTTGGCTTTTTTTTTGGCAAAAATACTGTAGTGGTTTGCCATTTCCTTCTCCAGCTGTTTTGACAAATGAGGAAACTGAGAAGCAAACAGAGTTAAGTGAATTGCCCAGGATCACACAGCTAGGATGTACAGTGGATATGCACTGAGCCTGGAGTCAGGAAGACCTGCCTTCAGATCTGACCCCAGATATTTACTAGCTGTGTGAAGCCTGGGCAAGTCACTGAACCCTCTTTGCCTCAGTTTCCTCATCTGTGAAATGAACTGTAGAAGGAAATGACAAGCCACCGTAGTATCTTTGCCAAGAAAACCACAAATGAGGTCACAAACAATTGGACATGACTGAGATGACTGAACAACAAGAACAATAGTGACCCTTTTTCATCTCTATTATTTTTTCAAATTTTTCCAGCAAAAACCTCAACAATCTTTTAACTGTTAAATCTTATGGCTTCTCAATTTTTGTAGTTCTTTGCCTCTCTACCACTTTTGAAGCAGAGGAGTTGCCCCTTCTCTTTACAGATTCTCTCCTCAACTACCCTTCATGAAACTACTCTCTCCTGGTGCCTCTCCTATCCTTTACTTCTCATTTCTCTATGTTGGATCACTGTCCATTTGCCACTCAATAAGATTTATGTGTCCTCTAGCATTCTGTCTCATGTAATCTCTGTCTCTTCCCTTTTTCTTCTTGATCTCATGAACTCTGTTTGGATGAATGATTATCTCTCTACAAAAGACTCCCAGATCTGTAGATCTAAGTCCAACATTTCTCTTGAGTCCCAGACACAATCAATCAATCAGTCATTCAGTCAATCAATTAGCATGCATCTCATGCTAACACATTCAAATTATCTTTCTCCAAAACCTGTTACTCCACAAAACTTTGCTGCTTCTATTAAGGCCATTGTGTCTTCTATCCAATCACCCAGCTCTTCTCTGCACTCGGAGTCATCTCTGTCTCTTAAGTCTTCCATATATACATTATATATGTGTGTATGTGTGTGCATGTGTGTGGTCTGTGTGTGTATATATACATACATATATACATATATATAAAAATCAGTCAATGCATTGAAAAAAGTTTTAAAATATCAGCAATATTGCACCCCCTTTTACTTCCCACCACTACGAAGGAGTGAGGGTTGGGATTCTCATCTCATATCTCTTCTTTGGGTCATGTTTGCTCTTTAAAGTTTGGAAAATTGTTTTAATTGAGCTGCAGAGGCTAAAGAAAAAATCCTGTAGATGTATCAGTAGGATATCCTTTCTGTGCTTGTAAATTTGACTTGTGTTTCTTAGGATCTTAGCCTGACTGCTTTGGAACTGATGACTCTTTCTTGATTGTACTACACTCTTTCAGAGTTGGCCCACAATCCCTGTTACATGTTGACAGGTTCTTCCTTAGAACGGGTGCTGAGAAAAGAACGGTTTTTTCCTCAGAAATCTTTCCTGCTTGAAAAAACATTATCGTCAAAGCATAAGTTAGAGTAGTCTCAGCTCAAATATTTGGATGTGAATTTCTTTAGAATTACATTTTATATCTCTCTAAAAATGTTTCTTTTTGAAAGGAAAACATTAATGAGGAGGAAAATATCGCCATAAAGGAAAACATGACTAAAAAGGAAAATATTTATGATGCTTCAACTCTGCTATCTTCCTGGACAAACAGGTACATTCATGTACTGCTGGTGGAATTTCAGAATGGGTGAATGTTCTAGGAAACAATGTGATGGTATCCTGGTGAAGTTACAAAAATAACAGTAGACCCTGCCTTCGTCACCCATCCCTTTATTGGAAAAATCCTAAATGGAGTGTATTTCACAAACAAGTAAAAAGAGAGGTTATGTTCAAAGAACATTTCTTGTACTATTCTTTTTTACTCCCAAAACCTGGAGATTCCTGAAAGGCATGACAAGTTGAAGAAATTCTGTCAATTCTTCTGTTTGAAGATCTAGATCATTAACATAAATGAATAATAAGAGGAATTAAATTGATCCATAGAAGGAGAAGGAAAATTCTAGAAACATCTCTATGAATTAGTGTGAGCACAAAAATTTAGAGTAAAAGAGTATAGATTAATTTATATACTTTGAATTAAAAGGGAAATGCTACACAGATGGTGATTAACGGACAAAATATTAAAGGGGAAGCACAAGAGAATAAGTGGTAAGAAGTTGTCACTGTTTGAAGAGGTCAATGAAGGGAATCCAATATACCTAATTCACTCAACTAGACCATTGGAAGAATTGGGATAGAAGCCAAGACTCTTGATACCCAAGTCAGCACTCTCCCAACTTAAAACACACATACACATACTTTGTTTTTGTTTTCCAGAGAAACTGAATTCAGAAAACAAGAACTGACAAGAAAAATAATTTTGAAAGAGCAAACGCAAGCATTCCTCACAGACATCAAAGAGATGTGTGCCATGGTGAGAGAGTCTAATTCGTGGGTACTTTTCCCATTTGTATTCCATAAGTATTTCTTCAGGGACTGTTTGTATGTACTCTCCTGAAAATTGTGAGTGAGAAGAATGTAGAAAAGGAATAAAAGTGATGCCTCAAAATGCAGGTTACTGGTAATTTTGGGGAAAACCCAAAACATAAAAATAAATGTTTCTGCAGAGAGGCAATGCCACTCCCCTGTTCCTAGGAATTCTGAATTAGGGAAGATTTTTTTCAGCATTGTCATATTTTTTCTTTCAAGGGGCAATAATAATATGTATTGACTGTTGTTTCCAAAATGACTATTACTTAAAACAAATAACTCTTCCAAGCTTCCACAATTAGAAACACATATATCATGAAACTCATCACATCAATTATTTGGTGGGTGAGATGGAGTGGTTTATTAAGTTTATGGATTTATTATGATTCTGTTAACTAGTCATTCTCAAATTCCTCCCCATACTTTCACCATTGAGCAGTTCCCTGTAATACAAAGATACATGCATACATATACACATACATACATATGAACAAATCATATATATATAGTTCATAAATAAATAGTTCAGCAAAACCTGCCACCATAACTGCATTTGACAGAATATACAACATTCTGCATCTGTAGCCCAGAGTGTCCTTACCAAATAGAGGGAACTGTATTACATTTTCTGTTTTCTAGGCTAGGGATAGGATTTTCCGATATAGTTAATAAGAGAATAGCAAACTTTCAATGTTGTGCTGATTTGCAGTTATTTTAGTTATAGCTAATATTCTCCTTACCTCATTCTGTATCAGTTTTTAAATGTTTACCTAGGCTATTCTAAATTCTTTGAATTGGTCATTTCCTATAGCACTAAATTGTACTCTCCAAAGTTACTTTTATTCTACATCCAAAGGTATTCTCTCAGTACTCATCTTTCTTGATCTCTCTACAGCCTTGGACACCATTCATCAACCTATTCTCTTGGATAGGCTTTCCTCTCTAGGTTTTTTGTGACACTGCTCCCACGTGGGGCTTCTGCTATGTGTTTTGTCTGTCCACTTGAGTCTCCTTTTGTAGAATCGACATCCCTGGTCACAAATCATAGGTTTGTCTCCCACGGCTTTGTGCTCTTCCCTCTTCACTTCTCCTGTAACATCTTGCTTGGCTTGCTGAGATCCTGTGAGATCAATGAATCATTCTAAGTAATCAGTCTCCCACCAAGCTTTGTCATTTCTTCCTTCACAACATTTCTTTTCTATATCCCATTTTCTCTACCCGCTCAACCATCACATAGATACAGGCCCTGTTTACCTCATGCCCAGATGATTGCAAGAGCCTCTTCCTTCCCCAAGTCTCCATCCACTCCAATCTATTCTACCCTTACCTACCAAGGTGAAATTCTGAAAACATCAGTGTGATCATATTTCTTCCTTATTTGATAAAATCCAGAGTCTTTTGGATCAAGTATACAATCCTGCCTTTGGCTTTTAAAGTCTTCCACCACCTGGCCTCTTTCCAACCCTTCCAATCTGCTTTTACTTTACTCTCTTCTAATTATTATTATTTAGATCCAGAGACCCAGGGAGTTTCTTGTTCTTCAGACATCACTCTCCATATCCCAACCCATGTTTTTTTCGATATCTGTTCCTTCTGTCTAGAACGTTCTCTCTTTTCACCTCCACAGAATGGCTTTCACATCCTCCAAGATTCAAATTCAACCTTAGAGCTTGGTTAGATATCATGGATGCCTAGGTCTTCTACTGTATCCCAAGCCATTCTCAGTCATCTTGACTTTGTCTTGCTCCAATGACTCTGGAAGAGAAAGGCTGACAACTTTGTGCAACTCTGCCTCACATATCCAATTTATACGTGAATCAAAAAACATCACCCATGCCATTTTATCATTTTTATCTACCTCAAAGTCTGTGCAGATAAGGAAGTGATGAAGCAGCAGGTGTGGATACATTGGGAGTTCTAGTCACAATCCTGCACACAGGTACCATAGCATCACCTTTTCATTAGACTGAGGCAGCAGTGAAATTCGTCAGTCTCCTTGGTGTCTGAGCAGCCTTTGTTAAGGAACCCACTGCTCCCCTCCTGGCATGAGAAAAGGGCTAGAAAAGGTACCCTAAAAATTGTCTGTTTCATGATAGGTAGGGATTCCACCCTGTGGTCAAAACACACACACAAAAAAATGACCTTTCTCAAACATAGAGAACTGAGACAAATTTACAAAAATAAGAGCCATTCCCCAATTGATAAATGATCAAAGGATATAATCAGTTTTCAGTTGAAGTAATCAAAGTTATCTATAGCCATATGAAAAAATTCTAATTCCCTATTGATTGGAGAAATGCAAAATGAAACAATTCTGAGGTACTACCTCATACCTATTAGATTGGCTCATAGGACAGAAAAGGTAAATGACAAATGTTGGAGGGCTTGTGTGAAAAATGAAACATTAATGCACTGTTGGTGGTGTTGTGAATTGATTCAGCCATTCTGTTGAGCAATTTGGAACTATGAACAAAGGGCTATAAAACCACACATATCCTTTGACCTAGCAATACTGCTACTAGGTCAGTATCCCAAAAGACATTAAAAAAACAAAAAGGAAAGGACCTATGTGTACAAAAATATTTATAGTAGCTCTTTTCTGGGGGTAAAGAATTAGAAATCAAAGGGATGCCCATCAACTGGTAAATGGCTGAACAAGTTGTGGTATGTGATTTTGATGGAATACTAAAGTACTATAAGAAATGATGAACAAGCAGATTTCAGAAGAACCTGGAAAGACACAAATGAACTGATACCGAGTGAAGTGAGCAGAACCAAGAGAACATTGTACACAGTAACAGCATCATTGCATGATGACTAACTTTCATAGACTTGGCTTTTCTCAGCAATGCAAACATCTAATATAACTCCCAAGGACTCATGATAGAAAATGCTGTCCACATCCAGAAAAAGAACTATAGAGTCTGACTGCCGATTGAAGCATACATTTGATCTCTTTTTTTCTTTTGTTATTTTGTTTTGTTTCTTCTTTCTCATGGTTCCTCCCATTGGATCTAATACTTCTTTACAACATAACTAATGTGAAAATGTGTTTAATATGAATGTATATCTAGAGTCTATATCAGATTGCATGCCATCTTTGGGGGGGGCGCAGAAAACTGAAAACACAAAAGCTCATGGAAGTGAACACTGAAAACTAAAAATAATTAAATACAAGAAATGAAAAGTGGATAAATAGCAGAGAACATATCAAGATGTCTACATCCTGATTTCTTACTGGATGGAAAACTTTTATAAAAAGAAATACTGATTATAGGTTGAAAAATAATTGCAAGTAGGTATATCAGCAAAAACAAAATATTTTGAGAAATTTTGCATCAAAAATATGAACTAACCCATCATATTAATATTCTTTCTTATTCTTATTTATTGGTTATAAGTGTAATATTATAAAGGACTTTATCAACAGATATTTGTGTATGATAAGTTACATTATTTTATTGTACATTTATGATGTTTCTGTGTTGTTATCCACAATACCATCCACAAAAATTCTTAGTATTATAAAATAAAATAAAATAAAATGAAGAATTGGATGAAAAAGGAAAAAAAAAGAAATGATGAGCAGGATACTGTCACAAAAACCTGGAAATACTTGAATGGGCTGAAGCAAAGTGAAATGTACTGTGTACAAAGTAACAGCAATATTGTAAAATGATCAGCTGTGAATGACCTAGCTATTCTCAGCAATACAACAATCCAAAACAACTCTGAAGGACTTATGATGAAAAATGCTATCCATCTCCAAAGAAAGAACTGATGGTATCTGAATACAGATTGAAGCATACTTTTTTTAACCTCATTTTTCTTTTCTTTATTTTTTTTTCGCTATATTTTCTCTATCTTTTCTTTTACAACATGACTATTGTGGATGTTTTGCATGACTACATGATTATGGATGTTTTGCAACCAATAAGACCTATATCGAATTGCTTGCATTCTCAATGAAGGGGGGTGGGGAGGAAGGAAGGGAGAGAATTTGGAACTCAATGTTTTAAAAACGAATGTTAAAAATTCCCCTGTAACTGAGGAAAAATAAACTAGTAAAAAACATAAATAAATAAAAAATAAAATTTGCAGAATTATCTGCATTGAGCAGCAGAGAGTAAAGAAAAACTGCAGATATCTCGGTAGGATTTCCCTTTTGTGCTTGTGAATTTAGACTGTTGGATATTACCTCCTGTGTGTTTCTTTGGTTTTTTACCCTATACAAAGTTGATAACCTGAATGCTTTTGAATGGATAACTCTTTCTTGCTTGAGCTACACTCTTTGGAAGTTGGTCCAAAGTCCACATTGCATTTTCCAAAGTTCTTTCTTAGAAGTGATGGTTGGGAAATGACTCTTACCCGCTTCAGAAATGTTTCCTGACTGAAAAAAAATCATCATCACAAGTTCAGAATGATCTTAGCTCAAAAATTGGGATTTAAATTTATTTAGAAATATATTTTGTGTCTTTCTAAAAATTTTACTTTGCTTCAGGAAAGTGATGAACATTCGGAAGAGGAAAACAGCCTTGAAATGGAAAGAATGATTGAAAATGAAACCACTCTTAATGAGGAAAACATCATAGAAACAAAAAATACCACTGGGAAGAAATCCATTCGTTATACTGGTTGGACTCTGGCACGTCTCTGGACAATCAGGTACACTCATGTACAACTAGTGGAATTTCAGAATGGTAGAATTTCTTTAGGAAACAATATGGCAGTATCCAGGTGAAGTTACAGTGTATAACAGTGTACCCCACCTGTGTCCCTATCATCCCTTTCTTGGGAATATACCAGGTGGAGTATAATATGCAAAGAAGTAAAAGGAGCGATTATGTTCAAATAAAATTTCTACTAGTATTCTTTTGTTAATCCAAAAATCTGGAGATGCCTGAAATGCCTGACAAGTTGAGACTATCTGAAGAAATTCTAAATCATATAGCAGGAATTAAAATTGATCAACATAAAGAAAAGGGAAAGTCTATAGAAATATCTCTGTGCATTGGTGCGAGCATAAAAAAGAAACCAGAATAAGAGATTATTGATTAATTTAGAAACCACCCACAAGGGATGTATAAAAGAGAAATATAATACAGATCATCATCAGTGGACAAAATGTCAAAAGGGACACACAAAAGAATAACTGATAAGAAGTGGTCGATATTATATAGACTTCAATGAATGTAATGCAATAGACCTTATTTGTTCAACTATTATTAGTAGAATACTTGAGATAAAAGCCAAAATTCTTGGTACCCAAGTCAGAACTATCACCATTTAAAAGACATGCTTTTGTTTTTGTTATCCAGACAAAATGAAGTAAAAAAACAAGAAATGGCAAGAAAAGCAGTTCTGGAAGAGAAAGTTGAGAATTACATCAAAGTAATCAAAGAGATATATGCAATGGTGAGAGGGTTCAACTTATGAGTTCTTTCCTTTTTTATGAATATTTATTCTTCCCAATTAAATGTGAAAATAATTTTTAACATTCATATGTTATTTTTTAATTTTGAGTTTCAAATTCTCTCCCTCCCTTTCTCACCTCCCCCCCTCCCTGAGACACTAGGCAATTTGATATTGGTTATACATATGCAGCCATGCAAAACATAATTCCATATTATTCATATTGTGAAAGAAAACATGTACCCAAAAAAATCAACCATGAAAAAATAAAGAGAAAAATGGTATGCTTTGATCTGCATTCAGAGTCCATCAGTTCTTTCTCTGGAAGTGGATAGTATTTTTCATTCTGAATCCTTTGGAATTGTCTTGAGTCACTGTATTGCTGAGAATTCCTAAGTTATTCACAGCTGATCATCATATAATATTGCTACCACTGGATACAATGGTCTCCTGGTTTTGCTCACTTCACTTTGCATCAGTTCATGTAACTCTTTCCAGGTTTTTTTGAAATCATTTCTTAAAGCACAATAGTAATCCATTACAATTTTATACCACAACTTGTTCAGCTATTCCCCAGTTGATGGTCAATTCCTCAATTTCCAAATCTATGCCTCTACAAGAAGATCAGCTATAAATATTTTTGTGCAAATATCCTTTTACCTTTTTTTAAAAAATCTCTTGAGGATATATACCTAGTAGTGGTATTGCTGGAACAAAAGATAGGTATAGTTTTATATAGCTTTGGGCATTGTTCCAAATTGACCTCCAGCATGGTTGGATCAGTTCATACCTCTACCAACAGTGTGTTAATGTCACAGTTTTCCCACATCCCCTCCACAGTTTATCAGAATTGTTTCATCATTGGTGATTTAAAACATTTTTCACATTGAATTCTTCATCTGAAAACTGCCTGTTCATATCCTTTGACTATTTATCAATTGGAGAATAATTTGCATTCCTATAAATCTGACTCAGTTCTCTGTATATTTGAGAAATGAGGCCTTTATCAGAGACACTTTGAGAAAAAAATTCAAAGCTTTCTACTTTCTGATTTTGGTTGCATTGGTTTTGTTTGTGCAAACCCTTTTGAATTTGTTATAATCAAAATTATCCATTTTACATCTTGTAATGCTTTCGTTCCCTTGTTTGGTCATAAATTTTTCCCTTATCCATACAGCTGACTAATAAACTATTCTTTGCTCCTCTATGTTGTTTAAAGCATCACTCCAACTATCCAACTATGTCTCCAACTATTCATTTCGACCTTATCTTGGTATATGGTGTGAGATGTTGGTCTATACCTGATTTCTGCTACCCTTTTTTCAGTTTTACTACCAGTTCTCATTAAAGACTGAGTTCTTGTCCAAAAAGCTTGGCTCATTGAGTTTATCAAACACTAGATTACTGTGGCCATTTACTGCTGTGAATTATGTTCCTAATCTATTCCAGTGATCCACGAGTCTATTTCTTAGCCAGTACCAGATTGTTTTGATGATTACCACTTTAAAAGAGAGTATGAGATCTGGTACATCTAGGCCACCTTCCTTCAAATTTTATTTTCATTAATTCCCTTGATCTTCTTGAACTTTTGTTCTTCCAGATGAATTTTGTTATTATTTTTTCTAGCTGTATAAAATAAAATTTTGGCAGTTTGATTCTTATGCTACTGAACAAGTAAATCAGTTGAAGTAGAATTGTCATTTTTATTCTGTTAGCTCAGCCTACCCATGACCAATCAATCTTTTTCCTGTTGTTTAGATCTGACTTTATTTGTTTGAAAAATGTTTTGTAATTGTGTTCATATAGTTCCTGGGTTTGTCTTAGCAGATAGACTCTAAAGTATTTTATGTTGTCTACAGTTATTTTAAATGGATTTTCTCTATCCCTTGCTGCAGAGCTTTGATGATTCTATATAGAAATGCTGATGATTGATGTGGGTTTGTTTTATATCCTTGACTTTGCAGAAGCTGTTAATTATGTCAACTGGTTTTTTAGTTGATTTTCTAGGATTTTTTATACCATCCTATCTGCAGAGTGATAGTTTGTTTCCTCATTGCCTATTCTAATTCCTTCAATTTCGTGTTCTTCTCTTATTACTATAGCTACCATTTCTAGTACAATATTGAATAATAGTGGTGATAATGGGCATCCTTTCTTCACCCCTGACCATACTGGGAAAGCTTCTAGCTAATTCCCATTACAGATAATGCTTAATGATGGTTTTAGATAGACACTACTTATCATTTTAAGGAAAGCTCTACTGACTCCTATGTTCTCTAGTTTTAAATAGGAATACATGTGGTATTTTTTCAAAAGTTTTTTCTGTATCTGTTAAAATACAGATGCTTTTGTCATGTATATGGTCAATTATGCTGATAGGCTTCCTCATATTGAACAAGCCCTGCATTTCTGGTATAAGTCATAGTCATAGATCCTTGGGATATATTGCTATAATCTCCTTGCTAGTATTTTATTTTATTTAGAAATTTTGTATCAATAGCCATTAGGGAAACTTTTATCATTTTCTTTCTCTGTTTTCAGTCTTTTTGGTTTAGATATCATTACCATATTTTTGTCATAAGAGAGATTTGGTAGGGCTCTTTCTTTGCCTATTTTTCCGAATACTTTATATAGACTTGTTCTTTAAATCCTAGGTAGAATTTACTTGTGAATCCTTCTGGTGCTGAGGGGTTTTTCCTCAGGCAGTTCATTGAGGCCTTTTTAGATTTCTTTTTTAAATATGGTGTTCCCATCTATTTCCTTTTCTCTTAATCTGGGAAAGTTATATTTTTGTAAATGTTCATGCATTTCACTTAGATTATCAAATTGCCTTCTCCCGGTGCTTCTCCTACTGAGCTGTACACTTCTCATTTCCCTGTGGTGGATCACCTTCCATCTCCCACTGAATAAGATTGAGTCTCCTTTAGCCATCTGACCTCTATAATCTTCCCTCTCTCCACCTTCTTTCCTGCTGATCTTCTCAGCTCCCTTTGGATGAATGAATATCTCTCTCCAGAAGACTCCCAAGTCAAAACATCCAACCAAAAGAGGTCTCTTGAGCTCCAGACCCAAGCAATCAATTACTCAACATGCATCTCATCCTCAACATATCCAAATTCTCTTCCCTTAAAATGTCTCTCTCCATTCAACTTTGCTACTTCAATTGAAGGCACTACCTTCAGTTCAGTCACCCAGTTCTCTGAGCTCAGTCATTTCTGACCCTTCTTTGTCCCTCATTTTATATATCATCATATCACTTATGAAATCTTGTCACTTCTATCTCTGTAACATTTCTGGCATTTACCCCTTTCTTTCCCCTCACAGGAACTCTTCTTATCCTGATTCACGGTCCTGTCACCTTTTGCTTGGACTATTGAAATAGCATTGCTTTTTCTCAAAATTAAAGATTCTCATTGATGGATTTCTTAAATTGTCACTCTTTCTCCTAGTGTCCCTCCTCCCTCGCAGAGATACACACACACTTTATAAGAAATAATATTTTGAAACACTGAAAAAAGAAGAAAAAGAATTATTACATAATTATATATACAATTCTTTCGCCAAAACAGTCAATCATTGGGAAAAAGTTTGAAATTATAGGCAATACTCCAACTCCTTGTACATCACTCATCTGCAAAGGAGTCAGGGAAGGGAGTCTCTTCTCACATCTCCGCCTTGGGTCATTCTTGCTCTTGAAAGTTTGCTACATCATCCACATTGAATTGCAGAGGTTGAAGAAAAATTCCTGCTCATGTGTCATTTGTGCTTGTCAACTTGGACTAGCTGGCACTGACACCTGTGTTCCTTTCAATGTTTACCCTCTACAAAGTAGGCAGCCTGAAAACTTTTATACCAATGACTCTTGCTGGGACTGCATTCTTTGGAAGTTGGTTCAAAGTCCATATTGCACTTTCACAGGTTCTGCTTTGGAAGGGGTATTAAGGTCAACACTATTATCTCTTCAGAAATCTTTCCCTCAAGAAAATTTTTTAAAAAATCATCAGAACAAAAATTTAGAGTAGTCTTAGCTTACTGATGTCAGCAATTTGGCTTTAATTTTCCTTAGAAATGTATTTCATTTCTCTCTTTCAAAAATGTTTCTTTTCTACAGGAAATCAATGATGACAAGGAGAAGAACGAATTGAGTGCAAGGGAATACACAAACACTTCTGAAAAGGTAAACATTCCTGAGAAGGAAAACATTATTTATGTTTTAATATCATTATTTATTCTTTTCAAGTGGCTTTAGAAATAGGTATTCACTTTTGATTCTAAGATGTGCTGCCAAAAAATCAAGGTCCAGGTAAACTGACTCCCATCTATTAAGTAAGTATATCTAGCTTTGTCAAGGTCATAATTGCATGGGAGATGTCTGGTGCCCAGTGCTTTTCAACCACTAAACTTAAGGACAAAGAATTTCCTTCACTCTTTGGTACTACTACTACTTTGTTTACTAGGGCTGCTTTCCTAGGTCATGAAATGACCTGACCACATAGAACTGAAAATTTCAGAGGTGGAAATCACCTTAGAAATCATCTATTCCAATTCCCAGGACTAAGGTATCTACTTTTCTAGACATGGATTCCTATTGTGACTCAGAGTATTGCATACCAAAGGCCACATAGCTAATTTATGTAGTATTCATTTTGAATTCCTCATTGGAGATAAAAAAATTAGATGATAACTATCAAGATAATTCATCCTGTAAAGCTTTTGTTGTTTTTTAACTCATGTATGGTTTTGACAGAGTTGAGGAATTCATATTGGTAGAGAAACTGGGAGAAAAAGCATTTCAGATGGGAGAAAGGCAATGGGTGGAGGTATAGAGGTGGACTTTCAGAGGTATGCCATGTACAAAAATGGATGAATGTAGTTGAATGAACTGGGAGTCCTTTTGTTGCAAGAACTTGACCTAATAAAATCAGAGGAGGCAAGATATGAAGAGCATGAAGACATTGACAACCATGAAAGTTTGCACCAGGGAGTTAATGGTATAAATGAAAGTATTAAGGAAGGAGAAAAAGTGGTAACTATATGAGGTTAGGAATGATGATTTTGAGGTTTTGGATATGATATGTTCAGAGAACTCATGTTGGTTCTTGGTGATCATGGCTTTCCTTCTAGCCATCCATTTCATGATATTTTTCAAAAATTTATGATGTTTTCAATTTTTAGAACTGAAAATAACATGACTCCTTTGGCAAGTGGGAACACCTATTTGTCCAGGGAAATAAAATAACAATTCTGGGCCTGCCACAGACTGTCCCCAAAAGGTACTTACCATAATGCTACTCTGCATACCAAATACTGCCATCACTCTCCCTTACTTGCTTTTTCTAAAGATCCCCTTTCACTGTCTCACTATCACATCTACACATACAGTTCTCCCCCTGGAATGCCAGAACTCTCTTTTCTCCTTCTGCAAATCTCATCCTTCCTTCAAGGGTAATTTCAATCTCTCCGTGAAGGCTCCCTGGTAGATCCTCCTAGCTAGAAGCCATATAGTTATGTTCATTCCTATTTGTAAATGTACACAATTCTAAGACAATTAAAATGTTTTCTTCTAATTGTTTGTATTCATCTCTTCTACTTCATGATTGGGTTATATGTTCCTGAAAGGCAGAGTTACCATGTCTTTGCAGTTTTCTCAAGCTCATAGCAGCTACAGAGACAACATGCAAGTAAATGGATCTTGACTGACTGAATTGTAATATGGTAGTCATTGAGGAGCAGAGTACAGAGATGAGTGGTAAATTGCAGACTCAAGAATCTAAGTTCTAAAAGTGAATAGAAAAAGATAAATTGGAATAATTGGAAAAGGAAGGAACAAACTGGTTTTTTGTTTGTTTTTTTTTTAAAAATTTTAGGTACCAGAAGTGGAACAAAAAATAAGAGAAAAGGAAAAAAACAAAGAAATATCAGGACTCCTGCTGAACAAAAACCTAGAAGATCCACCCATAATAATTTTAGAAACAGAAGACTCCAATAATTCTGGTAAGACTAGATGATCATGGACTCAGCTAATATGGAAATTCAGGAATACGTGGGTTCCTCAAGAACAGCTTAAGAGTATAAAACAGAGACGTCAGAGACGTTAGAACTGATGACAGAGTCAATTTAGAGTTAACATTTATGTGGGTAGTGTCTAGCAATGGGTAAATATACATTCACCAACAATTTTAATGACCAACTGTTGAAAATAGAATAACTGATATGAAATTTATTGAAGGAAATACTTTTTTTTAGTTACTCCCTTCAGATCCCACAGTGATTTTCAAACTAACAAATAAATAAAGGTCTTCTTTAAGGAAGATTTTTTTGTTATTAATCTCTTATAAGTGCATTCTATTAATTTCTTACTTTCTTTTCTTCTCCTTTCACTTTTCCTTTCTCCTCCTCCTTTCTTCTTTCATGTTCCTCTTGCCATTTCTCTTTCTTCATCTATCTTTTTTTTCTTTTTTTATCTGCTGAAACAACGCAGGAGAAACGAATAGGTCCATAGAAGAGTCGAATATTAAGATGAAAGGTAAAATTTAGTCAAGGATTTAATAAGATATTAAGAATATGGAACTGTACTTCCACCCATATAAGACCATCAGAACGTAGGGGATCATTTGAAAGAAGTTAGGAAGTTGGAGCCAGAACATGCTTTTTTTAATTATGTAAATTTACATATACATATATATGTGTGTATGTGTATATACATATATATATATATATATACACACACACATATGTGTTTATGTATATGGTCCATGCTGCTTTCTCCTCTTTCCATGATGACATGAGACTCATTGCTTATCACACTTTTCTATAGTTTTCCTGTCCTTGGTCATTGGCTACATCAAATCTTAGCATTGGAGAGACCTTCAAAGCATGATCGCCTCCTGACAAATACAAAAATCTCTTTCCCAATGCCTCTAAGAGAGTGTTCTTCAATGGACAATCATATCGAGGACCCCATTGCCTCATAAAATCACCCATTCTATTACTGAAAGGCTCTAAATTTTAGGCCAATTTCTGTTCAAAATGAGAAAAATAGAACAATATGTTCTCCATACCATTTACTCATATCTCCTAGTTTCATCCTCTGGAGAGATACAGAAAAAACACCTTATCTCTTGTCCCCCAAGATACTTTCCAGATATTTCCAAACAGCTGGTTACCCATCTTATACTTTCTTTCATCATAGTCATAATCTTCTCCATCCTGGCCTTGCACTTTTAATCACTTTCATTCCAGGTTGTTAGGATGTTCTTGCCTCATAGTTCTGTTACTCATTGTGTTTAGTGGTCTCTGTTTTAGGTCACTTACTCTGAGGTGCATTCTTTCTATCTCCATTCAAAATATTAATTAAAAATGTGGGAGAGGTCTTGTCCAAGGACAGAGTCAGGCAGTTTCAAACCAAATATAAAGGAGCAACTTGTAAAATGACTCTAAAATTTCTAAAGTTCTTGCAGAAAGGACTTTTCAGTAAACATGATTCAATTTGCAAAGCCTAAACAAAAATAACCTGGGTTATTCAGGCTACAAGCTTCTATATGTAAATTGCTATGCAGTTTTTCACAGAGTAAAACAGTCTCTACAGGACAGAACAGTGTTGGGCACCTAAGAAAATTAAATGTAGTAAGTTTCACTGATAAAGGTATATACTGTGATTTTTTAAAAAATCCAGTAACAGAAATGTAGGAATTCTCCCAATTTTCCATCATTGAGAGAATTCATTTTTTATTTTACCCTGATTTTCAATGTATAGTTCTTTGTATAAGTTTAGCCTCCTCAGTTGAGAGAAAACTAACAAATTTAGACTTGGCTTTCTCCTTAAATTAGCATTTATCAATTGTTTGAATATCCTCTCTGCTCTTTGAAAAGGTCAGTGGGGATTAGCTTAACTAAGGTTGGACTCCTGGAGCTGCAAGGTGGCACCGTGGATAGAGCTCCAGCCTTGGAGTCAGGAGGACCTGAGTTCAAATATGACCTCAAACATATGATATTCACTAGCTGTGTGACCCTAAGCAAGTCACTTAACCCTAATTGCCTCGCCAAAAAAAAAAAAAAAAAAAAGTTTGGTCTCCTGAAGGATGTTGTCTTCATAAAATGTGTATGTGTAAATTCATTTTTCAAAGAAAGGAACCCATGGAAATGTTTGCACATTTGTCATTGATTTCTATGGGATGAGCTTTGTGGATACTATAAATGTTTTAGAGGCTAGAGAAGAGGGCCTAGCTCAAAGATGTTTCTAACATTGTAAAAAATGTGTTTATGAATTGTGGGACTAAGGTTTTTTTTTTAACATTATTCATCTTGATGATTTGTAATTTCTTAATTATAAGGCATGGCTGTAAACAGCTGAGGTGTGGTAGGACAGAGAGAAGACAGATCTCCATTTCCAGTAAATAAATATAGACCACACATACCTGTGTCTATATGTATGTATGCATATGTGTGTGTGTATTAGTAGAAATGCAAATCTGTGTTCTCTTTGTCCCACCACATCCCAGCTACTTACTGGAGCTACTTGCAACTATATTTACATCCAAGACAAATCTCCATTTCGATTAAATAAATATACACACCCATAAACATACATACACACACATATATGTGTGTTTATTTAATGGAAATGGAAATCTGTCAACACCACATCCTTCCTTAATTCTGTTGATACAGAAAGAAAAACCAAATCCCTGTTACAAACATGTATTGTCAATCTAAACAAATTCCTCCTTACACCATGACCAAAGAAAATTATGTCTCAATCTATATCAATCTCAGTCTATACCGATCAACTCTTCTTATCCTGAGTATGTTTAATCATGAGACCTCTAAAATTATGGCTGATCATTGTGTTGATCAAAGTTGCTAAGTCATTCAAAATTTTTTGGCTTCATTCCAAATTACTTCCCAGAATGGCATACCAGTTCAAGCTCTACCACCTGTGCTTTAGGATACATGTTTTTCCATATGTCCTCCAGTATTTGGCAGCTATTTCTTGTCAGCTTTGCCAATCTGATGGATATGATATGGAACTTTAGATGTTTTTTTATTTACTTTTCTCTGATTATTGATGTAGACCATTTTTGCTTATTACTTTTCATGTTTACTTTTTTATCTATCTCTTGACTCTCCTAAATTTGCACTTAAGAATTTCTTTGTACTCCTGGTCTTTTCATTGGGTATGATGGGAAGTCCTCTGTCTCATTAAAAATCCATGTTTTCCCTTTTTGGGACTCAGTTATACTCAGTTTTGCTGAATAAGTTATTCTTCACTATAAGCCTATTACTTTATCTTCTATACTAGAGCATTCTAAGCACTTTACTCTTTTATAGAGCAAGCTGCTAAATCACATGTGAGCCTGATTGCTGCATTTTCATATTTGAATCTATCCTTGGAGGCTGTTTACAGCATTATTTGATTTTAACCTATGGGTTCTGAGTATTGGCTAAAATGTTCCTAAGAATTTCCATGTTTTTGGTGACTTTCAAGGTGTTGACAAGTGAATTCTTTCTATTTCCACTTTCCCCACCTGTTCTGAGAGACCTAGGCAATTGTTTAATTGCTTGAAATGTCAAGGCTCTTTTTCTTGTTGTTGTTCATGGCTTTCTGGTAGTCCAGTGATTCTTAAATTATCTCTCCTCAATCTGTTTTTCAGGTCGGTGGTTTTTACTCTTTGGAGATACATCATATTTTCTTCTATATCTTTAAACTATGTTTTTTAATTGTCTTATGGACCCAGGTACTTCACTTTAGGCCATTCTAATTTTCATGACATTAGTTTCTTGCATAGCATTGTATACCTTTTGATCCAAGCTTTTTAATTCTTTTTCTCAATCTTTCTTTCATAGCTCTCCTTTCTTTTCTCATTTTTTCCTCCCACACACTGACAATTTTTAAAGTAATTCTGTATTTTCAAAAAGAAAAAAAACTCTAGTGTCATTTATTCCAGAAAGTTATATTTTTCTTTGAATCTTTATAGACATTTTGCAGTCCTTTTTTTCTACATTTGTTTCTTAAGCATTCCTGTCACTACAATAGACCTTTAGAGTGGCATTCATCCAGACTTATATTCTTCTATCCTGATTTCAGATAATACGTTGGGGCCATACTGTGTATACTTTTGGGTGCAATGTCTGGCCCAAACTTTTGGTCTCTTGAATCTTTTTTTCTACTTTCTTGCAGGTATTAAGTTTTGTGATATTCATAGATCTCAGGAATAGCACAGGCTAGAAAGCTGTAAACTTTCAGGGCTCCCAAGTGTTCTGACTCAGGACAAGGTATGAACACTGAACTTCTGGTCTGAATTCTACAAGTTCCTGACCTGAGTTTGGGTATGTGCCACATACCTGCATGCTTGCCCCTCTTTAGTGTTCCAGTAGACTATTGCTGAACTTGCCACTTAGAACACTCTATATGCGTTCTAACCCCTTGGTCTGGTCATTCTATTACCAACCTCAGGCTGTATTGGAGGCAGAAACCAAGACCCCATTAAACTCCTAGGGCCAGAGCCCAAAAGCTACTGCTTGCTTCTGAACTTCCTGCTTGGTCAGTATGCAGCTAAAAGTCTGCAACCAAAAAACCCCTAGGAATGCCACATGTGGCATCAGGTGACATCAGTCACCTCTACCTCTGTGACCTTGAACTTGAGTCAGTGAGGGAGCTCCCAGCTGGCACCTGTTATTGCCCAGATTCACAGCCTCATTCACCTTTTAGCTCCTTTGACCTTGAATGCATTCAATGTGGCATGTTCCCCTGGCTATGCCCCACACTCAGCTGTCTGTTGAGCATAAATTAACTGTCTCCCTGTACTAACTTGGGCTTGGATTTTCTGACTAAGCTTAAGTCTATGGTGTTTTCTGCAGCTTTCTGAGGAGTTAGGTTAGAAGCTCCCAGCTATTCCACCATCTTGGTTCTGCCCTAGCAGCTGTCTTCTGAAGATATACCTGTTCTATTTTAGGACTCAATCTTTCCAGGAATAGCTCTAGAGAAGAATATTTTTTAATGTGAATGGTATTAAGCCAACTTCATTTGAGATACATAATTGTTAGTATATCAAATGAAGGAAGAGATGTAGAATACCTATCCTAGCTATTTGACAGACAATTTTCCCACAGGATTAACACTAAAATGAAGTTTCTATCCTGTGTGATCCTGTTTACCTGCACCCTTGCTTTTTATCAGGAAGCCTAAGACTTTGCTAGTTAGTATAGGCTTGTTAGGCTAAACCTAGAAGAAAGAATGAATGTGGATAAGGAATTACCTAAATATCAATAATTACCCCCTTTGTTTGGCCTTGATTCATGCTGCTTGTGGAAAGTACCACAAGCAGGATCTTACTAAGTTAGGTGGGGTTGGGCTGATAGAATTACTTTTATGGACTAATCAGTGTTTAGTTTTCCTCAATCCTCTATTATTGGGAAGAAGAGGTGGCAAATATTTCTTTTTTTAAAACTTAATTTATTTATTTTTAGTTTTCAACAATCACTTCCATAAGATTTTGAGTTTTAATTTTTCTCCCTCTCCCACTCCTTTCCCCTCCACCCCTGAGAGGGTGTACAATATAATACAGGCTCTACGTGTACATTCACGTTAAGCATATTTTCCCATTAGTCATGATATAAAGAACAATTAGAACTGATAGGAGGAACCACAAGAATGAAGCTATAAAACAAAACAACAAAGGAAAAGGAGAGCAAATAGTATGCTTCCATCTGCATTCAGACCCCATATTTCTTTCTCTGGGTGTGGATAGCAGTTTCCATCATGAATCTTTTGGACTTGTCTTAGATTCTTACATGACTGTGAAGAGCCAAGTCTATCAAAGTTAGTCATCCCATCATGTGGCTGTTACTGTGTAAGATGTTCTCCTGGTTCTGCTCATTTCACTCTGCATCAATTCACATAAGTCTTTCAAAGGTTTTTTTTAAGTCTACCTACTCATCATTTCTTATAGCACAATGTTATTCCATTATATTCATACACCACAACTTGTTCAGCCATTCCCCAACTGATGGGCAGCCCTACAATTTCCAATTCTTTGCCACCACAGAAAGAGCTGCTATAAACATTTTAGTATATGTGGGTCCTGTTCCTGTTTTTATGATGTCTTTGGGATACAGACCTAGAAGTGGGATTGCTGGGTCAAAGAGTATGCACAATTTTATGGCCCTTTGGGCATAGTTCCAAATTGCTCTCCAGAATGGTAGGATCAGTTCACGACTCCACCAACAATGCATTAGTATTCCAATTTTCCCACATCTTCTCCAACATTTATCATGTTCCTGTTTTGTCATATTAGCCAATCTGATAGGTGTGATGTGGTACCTCGGAGTTGTTTTGATTTACATTTCTCTAATCAATAGTGATTTAGAACATCTTTTCATATGACTATAGATAGCTTTAGTTTCTTCCTCTGAGAACTGCCTGCTCATATCCTTTGACCATTTATCAATTGGGGAATGACTTATATTTTTATAAATGTGACTCTATATATTTTAGAAATGAGTCCTTTATCAGAGACATTGGTTGTAAAAATTCTTCTCCAGTTTTCTGCTTCCCTCCTAATCTTGTTGCATTGGCTTTATTTGTGCAAAAACTTTTCAATTTAATGTAATCAAAATTGTCCATTTTGCATTTCATAATGTTGTCTATCTTGTTTGGTTATAAATTCTTCCCCTTTCCATAGATCTGAAAGGTAAACTATTCCTTGCTTTTCTAGTTTATTTATAGTATCAGTCTTTATATCTAAATCGTGTATGCATTTTCACTTTATCTTGGTATGGCAAATATTTCCTTGAAAGTGATCAGAGGGTTAGTACTAGAAGGAACTTGGGAGATCATCTTTCTCAAACCTGCTGTCATTTTGGAAGTGGAATGAATGATATGCAGAAAGATTAATTACACAGCTAGCTAGGCATGGAGTGGAGACTCCAGGGCTCCGGGGGCTCCTAATTCAGTGCTCTTGATACTACGCTCTACATACTGCTACTATAAACATGAGTTTATACTATTGACGACTCAAGGGTAGGTTGCTGTGGTCCTTTGCTAATAAATGGGGTAATTTTCAGAGTCTTACTCACTGAATTCTTCTTATTTCTAGACAATGGGAGCAAGAACATGGAAACTTTGGAAACCTCTCCAGGGACGAGGTCTGCATCATGGATTCCCAGGTGTTTTCAGTAAGACCTGTTTTGCATACTGATAACAAAAAAAAAGAACTGAATAAACTGGTTTGTCCCTGCTTGGTTTTAACTGTTCAGCTATCATCTTTTCTTCTCTCTTTTTCTTAGAGCCCTTTTAGCATGTCCAAAGATTCTGTTGTACTCAGATTATCCTCAGCTAGGTCACAGAGTAGTAGAAAGAGTTCTGCATATGGGCAGAGGACCTGGGTTCAAATCCTTATTCTCTCACTTTTACCAGTTTGCCCATAGTCAAGGGGATTTGATCCTCTCCTGGACTCAATTTCCACATCCCAAATATCAGGCAATAGGTCTAGAATAACATTCAATGTCTCAAACTATGGTCTTACTATCTTCTGGCAAGTCATAGAGTAAGGGCAAGTAGACACACTCCTGAGGTGGTGTTTGGACTGAATCATCAAAAAAGGATTGGGACATTTTAGAGTGCTATCCAACTGTAGGATCAATATCTAAGAATTCACTATGGGGGAGAAGGAATCTTCTACTAATGTCCAAAAAGTAAAAGAACTTCTTAACAATTACTCACACATGCACGCATGCACATACACACACCCACACACACACACATTTTTAATGTACAGGATTCCCTGTCTTGTGGGACATACAGGACTTACAGCAGGTAAAGTTATTTGGTTCAATGATATAATCTGTCTCAATTTTTACCCTGTGTCCTTAACTGTTTATTAAAGTGGGTCCTCTTTCTTCAACTTGGATTTCAGAACCCTCCGGAAAAAATTCAGAAAGGGATCAAAAGAGAGAAAAAATCAACAGAAGGTAAACTTTTATCTTGGTGACTTTGTCTTGTAGCTTTAAGTATGTCTGTTTTCCCATTCTAATCACCATATGTTGAGTCTCTTTGTAACCTGGATTGGGAGGAAGCAAAATAGACACACAAGGTTATCTGGTGGGTTGGTGGGTTGACTTATGTGTCCTAATTACCAATGAGTGGGAGCAGGACAGCAGTGAAATAATTCAATTACTTAAAAAGTGAAGAGGAGAGTACTAGAGAGACTACAAATTGACCAAATTTGAATTCCCATCCCTGCCTCATAAAGATCCTCAGGACCCTTTCTTGGTAAAAATAAAATAAAATAAAATAAAATGAGAGAGAGAGAGAGAGAGAGAGAGAGAGATCGAGACCTTTGACAGCTTTTTGGATTGTGTAACTTTTCTTACTCTTTTTCTTTTTTTATTAATTTATTTTGATTTATCAACAATCACTTCCATAAGCTTTTGAGTTTTAAATTTTTCTCCCTCTCCCTTCACCCCTTCCCTCCCCAAGACGGCTCCCAATCTGATGTAGACTATACATATACATATTTTCACATTAGTGATGTTGTAAGGAAGAATTAGAACCAATAGGAGGAACCATCAGAAAGAGGAAATAAAACAAAACAGAAGAAAAAAATAGCAAATAGTATGCTTCGATCCACATTCAAACTCCATAGTTCTTTCTTTGGATGTGGATAGCATTTTCCATCATGAGACTTTTGGAGATGTCTTAAATCTTTGTATTGCTGAGAAGGTTAAGTCTATCAATATTAGGCATCGCACAACATGGCTGTTACTGTGTACAACATAATCCTGGTTCTGCTCACTTTACTCAGCATCAGTCCATACAAGTCTTTCCAGGTTTTTCTGAAGTCCACTGCTCATCATTTCTTATAGCACAATAGTATTCCATTACATTCATATACCACAACTTGTTCAGTCATTCCCCAATTGATGGGCATTCCCTCAATTTCCAATTCTTTGCCACCACAAAAAGAGCTGTACTCTTTTTCGTTCCAAGATTGAGGCAACAGCCCAGTTATTCAACTACATCCTTTGAAAAACCATTACATCCAGTCAATAGGCTAGCTGGATTTCAGTTCCCCAAGAGGAGGGCAGAACATGCCCTGCTTTATCCGTGAAGGATGTTGAAATGCTCCTATGATTCTTCCATGATAGCAGAAGTTAGTGTTCCTCATACAAGACACAGAAAGAAGCATTTTTTTTTGGTAAGAAGTAATAGGAAGTGAAGACTGTAAGAAGTATAATGAGAAATGCCTCTGTCTTTCAAGTATTTTCAGATTCCCCTTTTGCAGCCCATACACACATGTGTGTTTGTGTGTGTATATAGAAGTGTCTCTAGACTTGTCTTGGAGAACAAGAGAACACATGTTTCTGTTGAGAGATATATTTCAAATGTATGCATGTATGCATATATGTGTGTATATATGTTTTATATATATATAGATATGTTTTCATATATTCTCACATCTGAGGTTTACTTAGGCAAGAAGGATGACTTTGGAAAGTCAAAAGAGTATAGGCTTGAAGCACACACTGTGAGCCAACAGGCCTGCATTTCTCTGACTCCTTGATACAGTAATGTTTAACATTCTGAAGAGGCCTCTAGTGTACCTTGGGAAGAGAGCCTCTTGTTTGCTTCCAAAGACAACCCATTGGGTGCAGGCATTTCCTTTATGGACCAGGATTGAGCCAAATTATAGTATAACAGGGTTGGAGCCCATTATAGCAAATTGAGCATTTTGGAGGAACTGAATGTGATGCATGTCTGATTTCAGTTCTTATATTTAATCCCATTGACCTTCAAAGAAAAAGCAGAGGATTTCTGGACAAAAGGATGCTATGGTTTTTCATTTTGGAGAAAGACTCCACGCTTTGGAGGAAACACTCCACAACTGACTTCATTTCCTACATTTAGACACAGGGTCCTTTAAATTTGGGACCATTGCTTGGTGACAGACAATGTTGCCCTCACTCTGTCTTGCTTTCCACCCAGGCACAAGTTCTGATCTGTACTGTTCATGAAGTCACTAACAAAGTCTGTCCTCTCTAGGGGAAAACACACAGACACAAACACACACATAAAGTATCTGCTGCTTCTAAGGTTGCTAGAAAGTTTCTTTTTGTTTGGGTTTTTTTTTTTCTTTGTCTCTCAAAGCATCCAAAAAGTCCTGTTTCCACCACCACTGGACAATAACCTTTCTCTCTCAGAATTCTCACTCTTCTTCATGTCACAGTAATTACTTACTGTAAGGTTTAGAGCTCAGGGGGTGAAGAATGAACTAAGTGAGTGACTTAGGAAGTAAAAACTATAAAACCCAAGTGGAAGGTCAAATGTGGGAGTTGCAGCAAATGATTTCCCAGGTCCCTGCTAGTTCTAACAAACATTTTAGGCTTCTAGGATACTATGTGGCATGCCAAGCTCATTCTAAGACAGTATGATATTATTCAACCCTTTGAGGTATAATTGTCTTTTCCTAAGTTTTTCAATGGTTCTTGGTGCTTTTGCAACAGTGACATTCCTCACTGGATGAAGGAGGATTAAGTGAGTTGGATAAGTAACACCAGAAAATTTTAAGTGTAGTATGAGGCCACTCCCAGCTCTGACATTCTAAGGTTTGTAATGTCCACTTCTTGCAAGTGGGGACTCAGTCTTTGTACTTGTCTCTCCAGCAGCCTACATAGTACCTGACCCATTGCAGGTACTTCATTAATGCTTGTTCATTGATTGAATGATTGATTGATTGATTGACTTTCCAGACTTTTAAGTACTGTCTCTCTTTCTTGACTTTGCAGTCTCCATTTTATTACAATTTGTGGTGTTGTTTGTCTAAAGCACAAATATCAGAGGAGATGGAGGACAAAGATGATCTGAGCTGGAATAAGCAATCTTAGAAAACAAAAGTTGACTGTTCAATGCAAGCCTTAGAGTAACTGTCCTATAAGATATTTTCCAAATATGACCTCCTATAGTTCCTAGATTGCATGGCATTCTAGGCTTTAATTAGAATCTACCCTTCTTGACTTGACAGCTTGGGGCCAATTCCTGGGTAATACTAAGAGACACCTGGGCATCTCATCAGAAATAAGAAAGAATTGAGATTGCCAAGCAAAACCACAGAATGAAAGAGTACTCTGAAATGTGGGACTTGAAGCAAAACTATGGTCTGTCAAAAATATGGTCTAAAAATTTCATGGTCTATTCTGTCCCTGATGTTCTAGAATTTCCAGATTGTATAACATTCTAGGATTATATTCTCACCTTCTTGTATTGGCAGGAACAAGGAAATTTTCCATCAATTCCAGGGGAAATATCACGCCGCACTATGGAAAGAGTAAGTTTGACAATTCAAATGACAAAACAGAAGTAAATTCTTAGAGGCTCCTAGACTGAAAATTAAAATGAATGAGTGAATAAATATGAAGGAATTCATGAAAAAAAATTTAAAGTCCTTAATATGTTCTCATAAGGATCACATCCAGCTATATTATAGGGTTCTAAGATTTTATACCATGATGATCATCTAAGTACACAGTCTCCCTCTCTTGACTTGGCAGTTTCCAGAAACCTACCATCACAGGAATCCAACCATCTCAGATTGGACAGAGGAGGACGTAAGTAATTGGCTCTGCTTCACTGGGATGGATTATTATTCCAGTCGTGTCCACTTCGATGGCTGGCTCCTGCTTACACATACAAAGAGAATACTAAAGGTAAGCTTCTATAAGGGCTTTCCAGTTCATACCATCTAAGTACAAGAGGCTTCTAATAATTTCTGTTACAAAAGTGGTAAATGGAAAATAAAAAATATAACCCCAGTATAGCAATGCCCAACTTCCCCCAGCCTCTTAACCTCCTACGTTCCTAAACCCCTCCAAACTCAGTGGGACTTTTCCAACAAGTTAATCATGGAAAATCCCGTAATTCCATTTCTTTTGAAGTTTTCAAAATTTAAGGAGTTCTTCTGTGATCTGCAAAATGAGCTATCAATGTCTAATCCTAGTTTTTACCTCATTGATGAGAGTTGTTGGTTCATGATGCTATCTTTTTTACCACACTAAAACAAAGCAGAAAAAAAAAACAAAAAAAAAACCCCAGTACTCAGAGCTTCAGTGTGACTGAAACCAGCAATTTTCAGAACTTGAGTATAGATATTCTGACTGAATGCTTCCAGAACTGTCCTTTCTTAGACTAGATAGCCTCTAAAGTCCTAGGCAGTCCTCAATCTCAGACATATGTTGATCTCACTGATTAAAGTCAAATGTTACTATTTTCAGACTAAAAATTGAAATTGCTTTTAGATTTTTTTCAAAAGCAATTAGCATTGAGTTCCTGCTTTTAGAAAACATAATTCATGAATGAGAAACTATATTTACAAGTTTAAATGACTATATAAGGAGCCCTCACCATCTTTTTGTAATTTGGAGAGTTCTTCATTTAGCTATTTAGAGAATTGTAGAAATAGAAAACTTCTTCTATCTTCCCTTTTCAGACCTATACATAGCTAATCCTCTACCTGCCCTATTCCTGACAAATGGAGTCCAGTGAAATTGGTGGGTGGGAAATGATCAAGTGAGGAGTTCTTATCCCTTTAAAGACCAGTTGGAGGGACAATCTGAGTATATTGTTATTCTTCTTTCAAATTTGGCACATTTGGGGCGGGTATCAACAAAACTGAAAATATTAGCTAGAAGGACAACAAAGCCGTGCTTCCTTTTCCTATGATTTCCAAAGCTGCCATAGTTTGGTTTGTGAGATGGATTTTCTCAAAATGGAAAGGGTATACTTAAGGAATTCCAGAGAAAATGTCATTCCTCCTTGCTACTGAAACTGCCCCTCCAAAAAGAGTTGCTTATTTGGGAAATTTTCTTTTGAGCCATTTGTTTAGCATGTGATTGAACATACAGAAAGGACAAGCTGGTTGTTACATGGGGCTTCATGACTAAGTCGTATGACTTTGCCTTT